GAGGGGAACAGAGAGGGGGGGAAGCCATCCGTCAACCAAGAGCTTCCAGTCAGCCTGACCAGGCGCGGAAGGCAACCAGCAATGCCTTATCATATCCTCTGATCTGCTTATCCTCTTGGCAGCCCACTTTTGAGACACAGCACCCGCAGAAACACATGTTCGAAACTACATTCGATGTCTGACAGTTTCGCGTCTCCTGTGCCTCTCGGCTCCAGATGGTTCCAAGGGCTCCTCAGTGAGGCCAAATCGTGACCCTGCGGCGCGTGACGGTCGCTGCCCATCCCCCCCCAAGTAACGGCAATGACCGTGCGTAGGGTAGGGGCCGGGACCCCCCCCATGGTGGGTCCCGCACATGCGATCGCAGCGCACCCCCGTCTCCACGTGCCCCGCCCCGTCCAAACGTGACCGTTACCCCGCCCCCCCCCCGCCCGGCATCGCTCGTTGCAGGAAGTCATAGAGAAGAGTCTCACATTGCTCCATGAGCCCGCAACCTCGCCCAAGGCAGCCCCAATCCCGCCTCAACTGCCGACTACACCTGTTCTGCTCCTTGTTGCCCCAGAGCCTGCTGCCAGTATATCAACAGCCTCGCTTTCGACGTACCGCAACACATCCTCACGCAAGCGGCCTAAAGTTGTCGACAAAGTATCCGCATCCCCAGCCGCCTAAAAGCATCTGGAGAGTGTTGTGAAGGCTCTCTGGTGTGCGTTCGAAGACCTCTAGACGGCGTGCTAGGAGCATTATGGTGGTAGAGCGGTCGTTCTGGTTGTAAATCGGCCCCTTTTGTTTGTAAAGAGGTCCTTCCTGGTTGGATCGACGTCTCTCTCGATCGAGCAAATACCTATACGCTTTTAGACTGGCCCTTCGGAACTGGAATGCGTCACCTGGAAGCTTCTTCTTGGTTGTACCCTCACCCATCTGGTTGTGCAGATGTTTGCTCTCCTTGCTGGGAAAGTCTACTCTCCACCCTCTCCTCCCCACCCCCTCCTCCCCCACTTCTTCCCCTGTTCCGCCTCCTGCACAACAGACTGCGAGTTGGGTGCGCCCCAAGCAATGAGTGTCCCCCGCTCGCAGTTCCTCGGCCTACCCATGGCTCACCCGAGGAACCGTTCAGTGGCGGTCCGCTTGCAGAGCTAGCAGTTTGGTCAGTGGTCCTCCTCCTCATTCCCCTCCCTGCGTCCTCGTTCTCCTGCTTTTTGCGTTGAGCGGACACGGCTGGATGGCCAGTGGGTCGGGAAGCGGGCACATAAGAAATTCGCAAAATGGGAAAATGGTGCGTTCGTCCGACGCGCGTGGTTGGCAACAAAGGCTTGGGGTTCCTTCTTCTCCTCTCCCCCCCCCCTCGAGCTCGCTGTGGCGCTTGGTGCGAAACTCCGCCCTCCTTCTCCTGCTCCTCGTGCTCCTACCCCTGCTCCCTCTGAACCCGTCGTGGATCGCTGCGCCCTCCCCCTTCCTCCCTCCTCCTGCTTCCCCCTCCACAGCAGGAGCTTGACCACAAGAAACCCAACCCTGAGACTCCAGGACGGCCATTGATTTTTTGTGTGGGAACGTCACGCTTCCCATCGGCAACACCATTGAAACCCAAGAAACCCAAGGCACCCTGGAGCCAAGCAGGGTTTTCCTTGGCATGGGCTTCCATTCGATCCACCAGAGGACTCCCCCCCGCAGGGCCCAGACATACTCTCGAGCCTCGTAAGTAGGCCTCGAACGCCGGATCCGCCCGTCTTCCTCAATTGGGGCCTCAAGCTGCACCCGTGTCTGCCAGTGGTACGTCATCGGATCACCGGCGCTGCGCAGCTACGCTCCCCCCTCGCCCCCTTCCTCCCGCTCCCCGTGCCTCCCCTCGCGCCCCTCGTGGGCCGCTGTCCCTCCCCCTCTCGGGGGCAACGATAGGGGGGTATGCACAGGGGGGGATGCATCGACACCCAGCCGCCCATGGATCGCCGAGATAGGGGCCTCGTATCCCCACCCGGTTCAGGAACGTGCAGACTTGCTATCAGGGGCCTATCGATCTATCGGCGCCGTATCGCCGATTCAGGTCGATGTTTCCCCCCCCCCCCCCCCTTGTGCCATTCCCCCTCTATCTCGGCGGCGTGCCCAGAAGGGAGTTGAGAGGGAGCGGGCCTTCTCTGGAGGCTCGGGAGTCCCCGGGCCTCTTGAGAAGTTTCCTGGGCCTTCTCAGAAGACACGGAAGGTTTCTGAGAAGGCGCGAGGCCTTCTGAGTAATCTTGCCGTTTTCTGAGAAGGCCTTGTCGTTCTCACTTCCCCCCCTCTCTCGCCGCCGAGGGAGGAGGAGGAGGAGGAGGAGGAGGAGTAGGAGGAGGATGGGGAGAAGGAGGAGGCGGAGGAGAAGGAGGAGTAGGAGGAGGATGAGGAGGAGTAGGAGGAGGAGGCCGAGGAGTAGGAGGAGGATGAGGAGGCGGCGGAGGAGGAGGAGGAGGAAGAGGAGGAGAGGAGGCGGAGGAGGAGGAGGAGGAGGAGGAGGAGGAGGACGTGGAGAAGGAGAGGCCGGGGGATTGTGGAGTACCTCGTCGTTTTCATATGGTTTTTATCGAGTGGAACGCTCCTTCATCTTCAAATGTTTGATGGTTTGTCTTGCAATGTTCTGTTCGCCGTGACCTCAACATGATATGCGTCTCTCGCTGTATCGTTATCTCGCGTTCTGTCTCTATCTCTTTATCTCTCTCCTTGCACTCGTTGCTGAAGCTGTACAGTTGTTCTGCCAATCCATTGCCAACCACTGCCAATGCCAACGCTATGTGAATGGGGGAATCCTTTCGCTCGGCAGATTTCAGTCAGAATCCTTTTGTGGACGGTGTCATTACGACTCCTTCTTCGGAGAATTTCAATAGGAATGCCTCTGTGGAGGGTTTCGATAGGGACCTTCCTGTGGAGGGTTTCAATCGGAATCCTTCTTGTGGGGGGTTCAGTAGGAGTCCTTCTGCGGAGGGAGCAATGAGGACTCGCCAGCGCAATGCCAACGCAATGCCGAAGCAGTGCCATCGCAATGCCAAACCAATGCCAACGCGTTCCCAATCCAGTGCCAATGCAATGCCAACGGGGGGAATCCTTTGTTGTAGATTCCAGAAGGGATCTTGCTAATGGAGGGTTTCAACAAGAACCGTTCTGCGAAGGGGGGGCATGCGGACTCGCCAGCGCAATGCCAACGCAGTGCCAGCGGAATTCCAAACCAACGCCAAGGCGATTCAAACTTAATGCCAACGCGACGCCAATGGGGTGGATTGCTTGTGGTAGTGTTCAATAGCAATCCTTCTAAGAACCCCTCTGTGGATGATGTCATCCACAACGACATCATTCTAAGGACCATTCTTCGGAGGAGTTCAATCGGCATCCTTCTGTGGAGGGTTCGCATGGAACCTTTTTGTGGAGGATTGCAGTGTGAACCCGTATTTTAGGGAGGTCCGTAGGCATCGGTTTTGCGGACGCACTCAATCGGAATTTTCATGTGGAGCGTTTGGTTTGGCCTCGGCAGCGCAATGCCAACGCACTGCCATCGCAATGCCAACGCAATACCAATGCGATGCCAAACCGTTACCAAACCAATGCCAATGCAATGCCGATGGCGTGGTTCCAGTCTTTCAACATATTCCAACCGAAATCCTTATGTGGACGATTTGGTTACGGATCCTTCTTCGGAGGATGTCGATGGGACTCTTCTTGCGGAGGGTTTCGGCAGGAATCCTTCTGTGGAGGGTTTGACCATGAACCCTTCATGAGGGAGCTTTCAAAAGGAACCCATCGTGTGGAAGGTTTCAATAGGAATCCTTCCATGGTGGGAGCCATCAGAAATCGCCAGTGCAACGCCAAAGCAGTGCCAACGCAATGCCAAATCAATGCCATGGCAACCCCGATCCAATCCCACTGAAATGCCTGGGGGAAACGCTTCTGGCCGGTTCCAATAGGACTCCTTATATGGAGGGCTTCAAATGGGTTCAATATGAACACTTCTTGTGGAATGCTTCCATCGGAGTCCTTCTTGTGTGGGGTTCAAAAGGAATCGAGGACGAGTATGAGGTCGAGGAGCGCGTGGACGAGAGTGAGGTCGAGGAGCGCGTGGAAGGGAATGGGGGCGGAGGAGGCGGAGGAGGTGAAGGAGGAGGAGGAGGAGGAGGGAGAATCATTTTCTTTTGCCCCCCCAAAAATTCGCGGAGCGACCCCGTTTTTTCTTTGGGGGGTGGGGCAGGAGGATGAAAAACCCGATTTTGGAGGACAGGAGGAGGATGAAGGCGGGAGAGAGAGAGAGAGAGAGAGAGAGAGAAAGGAGGAGGCGTTCGCCCCCCCCCAAAAAAAACCGGGATCGATCCGCGTTTTTTTGTGAGGGGGGGTCAGGAGAATCAAAAAACACGATTCTGACGAAATGATGAGGAGGAAGAGGAGGAAGAGGATAATGATAAGGATAAGGAGGAGGAGGTTGATGAGAAGGAGGAAGAGGAGGAGAAGGAAGAGGAGGAGTAGGAGGAACAGGGGATGGAGAAGCGGGAAAGCACCCTCCGAGAGACGAGGTACTCTACAACCCCCCGTTCTCGAGAAGGAGGAGGCAGAGGAGGAGGAGAACGCGGAGGAGGAGGAAGAGGAGGCGCAGGAGGAGGAAGAGGAGGAGGAGGAGGAAGCGGAGGAGGAGGAGGATGAGGAGGAGGAGGAGGAGGACGCGGAGAAGGAGGAAGAGGCGGAGGAGGATGAGAACGTGGAGGAGGAGGAGGAGGAGGAGGAGGCGCAGGCGGAGGAGGAGACAGATTCGGAGGAGGCGTTGGAGGCAGAGGAGGAGGAGAACGCGGAGTAGGAGGAGGCGGAGGAGGAGAAGGACGCGGAAAAAGAGGAGGAGGAGAAGGACGCGGAGGAAGAGGAGGAGGGGGAGAGGAGGAGGAGGAGGAGGAGGAGGAGGAGGAGGAGGAGGAGCTTGCCGCTGACGTGCTCCTCCTGCCCTGCTCCCGCCCGGCCTGGCCGCTCGTCGGCCGCTGCCGCCCCCCCCGCAGCCCCCGCAGGGCTCCACCCTGCACGGCACCGGCACGTGCCGGCCGTGCGCCTGGCGCGCCGCCCCCCCCGCCCTTCGTTTCAAGCAGTGGCGAAGCGTCCTGGCTCGCCTATAGCCCTGCCAAACAATGTTCTAAGAGCCTTTTGTGGTATCCACGAAATGTTTTTAGAACATTTCTGGCGGAGTCTGTCTTGTTTTGTCACATCGGGTTTATGTTCTAAGAACATTGCTTTTGTTCTTAGAAAATTACTGGGTTCTAAGTCATTTCGAGGTAGGACTATAGAAATGCCGGGACGGTCGGTCCCTGCTCAATCGCCAGGGGAACGAAGAATGACATAAACATTGGAAACTCGGAGGTCAAACAATGGCATGAAGGGGCGCGACTCGGGGAGCAAACAATGACATAAACATGAAATCTCGGGGGTCCGCGCGGATTTCTCGGATCGGCGCTGGACCCCCCTCCCTGGCGCGCGGAGCGGGCCAGGGGCCAGGGGCGGCGCCGGAGGCGCCGCCAGAGGAGTCCAGCGCGGATCCGAGAAATCCGCGTGGACCTCCGAGTTTTTATGTTTATGTCGTTGTTTGTTCCCCTTGTCGAGCCCTGGCCTTCAAGCAGTGGCGAAGCGTCCTTGCTCGCCACCACAGGATGGTCGAAGAAACCTTTTGTGGTCTTCACGAGATGTTCTTCAGAACATGTCTGGCTGAGACTGTCTTATTTCACCACATCGGGTTTGTGTTACAAGAGGATGCTCTTGTTATTCGAATATTTTGGGGTTCGAAGAACATTCTGCGGTAGGCCTATAGGAATGGCGGGACGGTCGGTCCCTGCTCAAGGTCTGTCGCCGCGCGGCGAGGTCGCGGCGGCCGCCGTCGCCGCCAGGGCCGTGGCCGCCGTCGCCATCGCAGTCGCCCTGCGGCTGGGCAAAAGGATCCTGCAGGATCTTGCAAAGCCCGACTAACCAAGGTCGGGATGGACCCGGGCCAGTAGAGACCCGACACTTCGGCGTTGAGTGATGGGGGGGCAGCCAGGGCTGCAGAATAGGGGCCCTTTCGGGCCCCTGAAGGGCCCCGTTAAGGTTGAGTCGGGCATGTCCCTCAACATCAGGAATATCTGGAATATTCAAAATGAGTCAAAGCATTTCTCGGGGACGACTTGTCGATCATTTTTGGACTATGTTCGAGTTTTTGTTGTGGCAATGTTTGATTTGTCTTCCGAGCTCCGCCTGTAGGAGGACATGCCCGACCTAATTTGAGGGCCCCTAGGATGGCCCGAGATGTGCACCCCTCTTCCTCCTCCGTTTACAGTGGGGACCCATGCCAAGAAACACCCTAGTTGCCTCCATGGTGCCTTGGGTTTCTTGGGTTTCGGTGGTTTTGCGATGGAAAGCGTGACGCTCTCACGCAAAAAAAGAAAAAACAGTGGACGTCCTGGGGTCTCAGGGTCGGGTTTCTTGTGGAAGGTGTCTTGTGGACTGGCCTCGACTGTATCGCCCCCACCCTGAGACGAGGCCCAACGCAGCAGTCGCAGTCGTCGCCGCCAGCGTTCAGTCGGGCATGTCCCTCTACAGGAGGGATCTCCAAAAATAGTACAACATAGTTAGGGGACGCTTGGTTGTGTTCTTCTGTTTCTTTGATGATTTTTGCTTGTGCTCTTTATGCACACAAATCAGTGCACGTCCGTCCTGAGGTCTCAGGGTTGGGTTTCTTGTGAAAGGGTTCTTGTGGTCGGGCCCCTACGGCACGGCTACCCGTCACCCGTTTTCCCTTGTTTCTGCTTCTTGGGAGGCCCTCGTCACTACTGCTGGATTCGCTTCGATATTCTGGTCAGAATGCACTCCAGGAGAGGTTCAGGGAGTTGCGGTATCGGCACCTTTTTTGGGGTCTCCCCAGAGAGGGTAGTGGGGGGGGGAGACCTCATATGAGCATCCTGCTTTGGGCCTCGTTTGTAGCCAGCGTCTTCTAAGAAGCAGCCTCCTTCTGAGGAGCCTTCCCCCCTCCCCCTGCGCGCCGCCAAAATCAGGGTACATTCCGATCCGATCGATCTGGCTCGATGCCGATTCCGGCCAGCCCGCTATCTTCTCAAGAGCGTGCTCTGTGGACGTTGGGAAGGGGGGAGGGCTGAGCGTTCGAGCCAAGGGTGGGGCCTGATCGGGGGAGAAAAAGATACGGATACGTGTTGTCCCCCTTCGTTTTCGGCCTTTCCTGGCCCTCCTGGGGAATCCTCGTTGTCACCGCTGGATTCGCCTCGAAATTCTGGTCAGAACGCACCCCAAGAGAGGTCCGGGGACAACGCGTATCCGTATCTTTCCGCCCCCCAACCTGAAATGCACGGGGTGGGGGTGCTCGAGCCGAGTGGGGGAGCCCCTCCTCCCTGAATCGACGACCGGCGAGCGCCGGCGCCGGCGCCGTCGCCGTCGGGCGACAACGACGACGACCGAGCCCTGGTAGGATGCTATGAAGGCTGGGTCGAGCCCTAGTAAGATTCGAACAGAGGTGGATCTCTCCCCAGAAGGATCCAATTCGAGCTGGATCTAGGTATAGTAGGATGATCTCCGGGATGCATCGAGCCTTCGTAGGATTCAATTCACGCCATACCATCCGCCCTCTATCCGCGACACTTTTGCAAACTTTTAAGACGAATGTGCGCGGCGCTGAGGCGAGAGCCACATTATGAGAACCATCCGCCTCAATCCGAGCAATTGTTGTTGGCAATTTCGAGCTTCGGATTCAGGATCTCGATACGAAAGGAAGTCTTAGGCGAAACGCCCGGCCCCCCCCACTCACCCGCTTCGGGGTGCGACAGGGAGGAGTTATTTGCAAGGACGAAAGATGGAAGAGGAGGAGGAGGAGAAGGAGGAGGAGGAGGAGGAGGTGGGGCAGGGGAAGGATGAGAGGAGGAGGAGGAGGACGACGACGAGTACAAGGAAGGATCGGATCGGATCGGAAGGGCCCGCGAAAGAGCTCCACAGGGGAGCTGCTTCCGTGGGCGCGCAGGAAAAACTATCTCCTGCAGACCAAGAGCGCCCGGGGACGGGCCGTGAGGCACGCGCCACTTCCATACATGAAACCTCGCCACAAAAAGCCAACACACGCTAAGGACACTGTTATGTCGTCCAGTTTGGTTTCCTAGGACGGGGCCTCTCGATCGTTATGCGAATTCGATCCGTGGTGACGTGGTGGTTCAAAAGCTGTACGGAGGGGGACGCTCCCGCCCAGCCTCCGCGTTGGATGCTGGGCGCCTTCTGCGCCGCGGGGCTTTGGCTCGGGCAGCTGGGGGTGGCCTGGGTGGCGCGGCCGCCGCACTGCCCGGCCTGCCCGGCCTGCCCGGCCTGCCCGGCGGCGAAGCTCCATGACGAACCCCACTGCGGTTCGTGCCCTGCGTGCCCGGAGTGCCCGGTGGTCAGCAGGGCCGCGGCCCGAGAGGCCTCCTGCCTGGCCTGCCCAGCGGCGGCCTGCGAGGAGTCGCTCGCGGCAGCCTGCCCGACGCCCACCCCGGCTGACTGCTGGGGCTTCACGGCTGGACCATTGCTCGGCTTGGCCGCCGGCAAGCTGGTGGCGGCGACGGCGAGCCTGGTGGGCCTGGGACGGCTCGTGAGGCGTGCGGCCTCCGCCTTGTCCCAGGGAGACGGCGCCGGCGGCGCCACTGGCGTGGGCGCGCGCGACGCCGCCGGGCAGCCGCGGCTTCGGGCGATTAGGGCTTGATGTCCGCAGCGCCTCGCACGCTCGACGTCGCCGAGAGCAAGGTCTGCATCACATTCGACGACGACGACCACTTCCGGTGGCACCACCGGCTGTTCCTCGTCTCAGGCCATGCGCCGGGCGAGTGGATTGCGGCGACGCCCGACGGCGAAGATCCTGGTGTTGCAGCTGTCCGCCCATCTCGTGGTCGCGCTGACGCGGAATGCTCCGTTCCCACAGCGTGTCCGCGGGAACGTCCATGCGTTCGGCGAGCTGGACCAGGACGCCCTCGACTACCTGCGCCTCGAGGGGCGGAACCTCGGCCGCGTCTTGGGCGTCGCCGCCCCCGCCGGGCCGCCTGGTGCTCGCGTGGCTCGCCGGGTGATCGCCGACCCCGTCGTCGAGGGCTTCGGCGACGAGATCGACGCTGGCGCGCGACGCCGTGGGGATCGCACTCATCCACGACGCACTGGGCTGGGTGACGGTCGAGAACGTACAGCCCAAGGAGCAGCCACAGTGGCTGGCCGAGAATCGGCGGGGACCAGGGCGCGACCCTCGGGCTCTGCCGACCCCACCGCCGACGCGTGGGAAGCGAGTGCAGCTGTGCGCTGCCATCTCGGCCCTGAGGCCGCAGAACGACCCGTCTTGGCCGTTCCGCGGCCCATTTGATGTTGTTTTGCCCTGTATCGCCTTGGCTACGCTACTGCACGTCCTGAGTTGCTTGGGCTGTCTCCCCACGCATCACCCTGCCCCCTGTGGGAGAGGCGCGGCGAGTGGTCCGGAATGTTTGCGTCGTCCGATTTATTTTCCTAGAACGGAGCCTCTCGATCGTCATGTGAATTCGATCCGTGGTGATGTGGTGGCTCAGCAACCGCCCACCGCCAACCCCCACGCGCCGTGTGGCAAAGCTGTGGTTTAATGGTCTGCTGTGTTCTGTGCCCGGTTTTGTGCACTTCGCTCGTTTCTGAAAATATTCTGTGGAGGCACACGGCACTTGCTCGAAGGATGTGGAGGAAAGGTGGCATTTCAACTTGTTCCGCATTGTATCGCGGTGGCCACGCCACTGCACGTCCTGAGTTGCTTGGGCTGTCTCCCCACGCATCACCCTGCCCCTCGGGGGAGAGGCGCGGAGAGTGGCCAGGAAGGAAAGTCCCCCATACGAAATCCAATCCCAAACATCAGAGAGTCCCATCTCCATCCCACAGACAGAGGCGCGGTCGCGCGCGGGGCGCTCTTACGCGCCGAATGTGACGAGCACGGCTCAATTGCGGGCGCGGGCGGAGGGACTCACTCTACCCCCCCACACTACCATATCCTTATCCCACCTGCCTTCTTTCGGTACAGGATACGAAAAGTGCATCCACGACCTGCTGGGGCTGGCCGGAAAAATCTGTGCATGGGCCATGCTAGATTTCTGAGGAGGAGGAGGAGGAGGAGGAGGAGGAGGAGGGATATGAGGAGTGAGAGGAGAGAACCTTCCCCCCTGCGCGCGCAGCAGGTTCCACAAGCCGGGCGGTTGCCAGAACGCGCAGAAATGCGCGCATTGTACCTGGGCCGGCACAACACCTTGCAGGGAGGAGGGAGGGCCACCCCCTGCTGCGAGCAGCAGGGAGGAGGGAGGGAGAGAGCGGAGGAGGAGGGAGGGAAGGAGGGAGGGAGGGAGGGAGGGGAGGAGGGAGGGAGGGAGGGAGGGAGGAGAGAGGAGGAGGAGGAGGAGGAGGAGGAGGAAGAGGAGGAGGAGGAGGAGAAGAAGAAGGATGAGGATGAGGATGACGAGGACGAGGAGGAGGAAGAGGAGAAAGAGGAGGAGGAGGGATGAGGGGCTGGCGGAAAGGAGGGGGGGTGGGAAAGAAGGAGGAGGAGGGAGTTCAGGTGCCGCCGCGCTTGTCCTTTGCCCAGGGTCTCGGCCACAGGTACCCCACATGGCGTGCGCCAGAGTGAGTGAGTGATTGAAGAGGGATGGAGGGAGGAAGGAGGGGGGGGGACGGCGGTAGGGTGGGGAGGAAGAGGGGTGGCGAGGAGCTGGGAGAATGGAGGAGGACAAGGATGCTTGTTCTACTATCGCTAGCTGGCACCATCCCGTCTTCGCCCAAGCGGTATGTGGGGGCCACGGCCAGCTGCAGCGACCGCGGCGCCCCGCGCTTTCGAAATACCAGTTTTCCAGAGCGCGGCCTTGACTTTCCACAGCAAACGCTTGCATCCACTGGCGGGCAAGGAGCGCCCCCCTCCCGGGTGACACCCCGGTCGTCCCGCGGCCCAGGACGGCGGCGACACTGGCGACCAGTGTCGCGGGCGCCGCCCTGTGCAGGGTCCATCCTGGGAGCTCCTGCGCTGGGATGGCAACGGTTCTGTTGAGGTTTTGCCAACTGTGTTGGCAAGGCGCCCGAGTGGCCTTCACGGAATACGCGCAGTCGCATGGACACCTCGCAGGCATGGGCTGGATAGGGCTGCGAGCACAGACGGTAGTGCTTCTCCGCGGGTGTCGAGGGCAGCCCTTTGATCGACGTGCACCGGCCGCTTCCCCGTCGTCGCATGGACACCTGGCAGGCATGGGCTGGATGGGGCTACGAGCACAGACGGCGGTGCTTCTCCGCGGGTGTCGATGGCAGCCCTTTGACCGACGTGCACCTGCCACCTCCCCGTCCGAAAAAGCCGCGTTCTCTCTCGGCCGCTGGGGCGCCGAGGCGGGCCAGCCTGAAGGGCGGAGGCCCTGCGCGTCAGGTTTCAAGTGCCCCCCTTCTTGCAGATCCCCTCGTTCTTATATATCTATATATAATTTTCAAATAAAAAGAAACCCTCTCGTTCTTTATAGTCTCTGCTTCTTTCCCGCTTCCTTCGCCTCTGCTGTTCCTCCCCTCCTTCCACCCCCGTTCTGTGTTTCCACTCCTCCCCCCCGCTCTCCTTCTCACCTCGCCCTTCACCTCCCCTATAACCGTTGCCTCCCTCCCTCCCTCCCTCCTTTCACCCCCGCCCTTACCATCCCCCCCCTCCCTCCTCTCCTGCCTCCCTCCTGCGTGCTTGTCCCCTCCTTTCCCCCGGGGGCCACCGCGCAAGTGCGACGTTGTGCGCATCCTTCGCTTCGCGGTCCCTCCTCCTCCTCCTCCTCCTCCTCCTCCACAGCCGTTGTGGCTCAGGCGCTGACCTGAGCTTGACGAGGCCAACTTCAGAACGGCCTGCCTCGTCGAGCCAAAGCTTTCAAGCGATCCTTCAGTTTGTCCACCATCCCTCAGAGTGTAGTCGCATGGCTTGGTGAAACATTGGCCCGCAGTTCTTTGAAAGTTTCAATGACAAGTGTCGTTCTACACTACTTGAACGCTTGCGATTCTCATCTTCTCTGATCGCTTGTGCTCAAGAGAGCGGGACTGGACCTGAGGCGGTGCCAGATTTTCACTGTGTCGCTCGTAATCTGGGGTATCGAACGTTATGCAGTCCGTCTCGGTGCTGTGCTCGCGGCTCACTCTCAGCAGGCGTGGCCATTTTTGTACGACGACATATTGGACTAAGATGGGACCCCACATGCGGTGAACTGATCAAGGGACGTCTCTCTTCGGCCATGGTGGACACCCCAGGATGGCCTGAACTTGTGACCGGCTTGGTATACTTACGTGATAGTGTGGGCTTGGATGAGTCCAATATGCATATCCTCTCTGTCCTTGGGGGATCCGTTACGCGTTCGAGTGGGCATGGCTTGGCTGGTGCGGGTTGGAATGTTAAGCCCACCTCGATTGAGCAGCGCGGGGTCGCCCGCAAGGCTGGCCTTCTCACGCTCGCGCTTGTGAGAAATAATTGCGCCATGCCATCCCCGGCAAGTGCGATAGACTTCTTTCTGGCATATCATGATATTGTGCGAGTGGCTGACAAGGTCTTAGTTGTTTCCCAATGGCACTGGGGTCCGCACAATGTACACCTACGACTTGATGCAGTTCTGTTCGGCAGCTGGTGCACTGTGCACATGCGCGGTTGCCCGTCTCATCTCCGTTTGGCTTTCGACCAGAACCTCGAAGGTACGTGGCAGCCAGGCAGATGGTGGAGGAGGCGGCACATTCTACAGTCTACACAGTATGATTCGGTGGATAAGGCATGGGCACGGCTCGATCAGGCATGGGCGGTGTTCTTCGAAGGTGCTGAGGAGATGGGTGCAGTATTCGATTTTCCGTTGAAGAAACTCACGCGACATGTTTATCTTGCTCGTCGATGGGTACCTGTCTTGAGACGCAAGGATCATGCTCAAGATGGTATGCGCTGTGTTCGCGGCGGCTGGCAGTGGCTATATCGAATGCGGCATGACTTTGACGTGAGGGCTGAGCGGAAGCCCGAACTCCACGACGATCCGTCTGCCTTTTCTCTGAAGCAAACTGCCCTGGTCGAGAATTATTCTGGCGAGGGGCTCGATGGTCGACTGGATTATCAGGTTCGGGCCCTGCGCGAGCCTATTCGAGATTATCCTGAGACGGGGGCTTGCTACTCGACGCGGCGAGCACCTGGTCCTTGAGTTCGAGGCTGCGGCGAAATAGTCCTCGAAGTTGCGACAGCAGTCTGAGGACGAATGGCGCGGCCAAGCGCTCGGAGGGCCGGCGCAGTTCATGCACGAGATGACCCGCTTACAAAGGTATGGTGCCCTGGCGTTGTTGAGAAGCCCCCTTGAGCATGTTCCATCAGCGGCGGCGCTCAATTCGGAGGCGGGGGCTTTGCGGGAGCAGCGGGGCGCGCCATATACGCCGCCGCGAGCATGCGTGCCCGATCGAGACTGTCTGCCACGCGTTGCTCCTGATGAGATTCGGTCGGGTTCGCGAGAGTTCTGTCAGTTCGCGTCGTCCACGCTCGATGGATTCCACCCTGAGCATATATGTTTTCTGGGAGATGCTGGGTCGCGCGCTCCCAGCGCACTATTCGAAGGAGTTGAGCGACTTGGACTCTTTCCCAGGCATTTGTTGCGAGGTATTTCCACTGATCGAGAAGCCTGCAGAGGGGGCATCGTGCCATCCCCTTGCTAGCCAGCTTCGTGAGAGCATGGTGGCGGCTGTGCCGACCGCCCCCAGATCCTGTCTTTGCCGCCGCGGGGAGGGATAATTGAGCCTCCGTTTCTGGTAAGAGCGCTGAATCGCGCGCGCGGCCTGGGCGGCCCCGGGGGAGACAGCGGTCGCCGATGGCAAAGTGTTTCTCGGGGTCCAGTGGGGCGGAAAGAAGTATTATGAGTCCACGCAGTTGGACCTCCTTTGACCGCGCGCTCTTCGGTGGGGCATTGGGGCCATAGTTAAATCGATGTTCGACGCGCGGCGCTCTCCGAGTCTGGCAACGCCAGGCCCTGCAGTCCACCCCGTCGCGCGGTTTGCCGAGAGTGGGCTCCCTGCAGGAGATATTTCCAATAATGGTTCGTTAAGGTCTACGCCATCGGCGCATTCGATGACCTGCGGCTCGGCCCCCCCCCATTCGGCTCTCGAGCTACGTCGACGACGGCGCGATCATGGCTACTGGCGACAAGGCCACCGTGCTTAAGTTGGCCCCGGGGGCCGCCGAAGCTTACTACCGCGCGTCTCGAAACCAGCTCAAGGTATATATATATATATATATATGTTTCCGAGACTATCGGCCACCGCGATCGCAAGCCCCCCTGGATTAGTTGAGGTTTCTGGCTCGCCAATTGCATCTTCGAGGTTTTCCAGCGGGCGCCATCGAGCACCCGCCAGCCAACCTCGGGGTCGATTTCACGCCAGCACAAATTAGAGCAGCTAGAGGGGCACTTCGAAAACGTCGATCGGTTTCGGCAGTATCGACTTCGACACGCACGGGCGTTTCGATTTCGCAAATGGCCTTCGCGTGGCAGGCGTCGCATGGCGACTTTTCACCAGGCTGGGCTTAAGCCAGCTCTCGCGCGTGGCAGCCCTATCCTCGGCATGTTTGGTTGCGAGTTGCAGCGGGCTCGATCCGCGCCATCCAGTTTTCGATCGCCCCCACATCGAAGGTGGTTTCCCATGGCGACCATGTGGCCGATGCGCGCGTTGCCCCTGTCGTGTCGCGGGCAGTCGCAGTCTGGCGAGCTTTGATTGCATCGGAACGCCCTTCGAGCTCGCGGGCAGGTTTCAGATCGTCCAAGAGAGAATGGAGCCTCATCATCGGTGGAGGCAAACCAGAGGACCGATTTCCCGAATGCCACTCCCCCTCAAGCGAGCGCGTCGGCTGGGCAGCGACGAACCTCGCGCTCTGGGGGGGGGGCAGAGGCATGGAGATATCGCCCATGTACACGGCCCCGAACATGGTCAGAGGTATGCTTCGCGAAGCGGCGGAGCGCGCACATGAGCGCGGCGTGCCGCGCACCTGGGGCCATTTTGAGCACGCGCGAGCGCTCGTTGATATATCGCGCAATGCTGCATGTGAGCTCAAGCACTACACACCTTGACAGGAGTAGAATGTAGCTTTTTGTTTGTGTAGGGCTGCGCTCACGTGCAACCGCCTCACGGTCGATGTTGGTCGGCGCCCTCGGCGCGGAGGACATGGCATCGTTTTCCATCTGAACCTGCTCTAGCCCAGGGGTTGAGGAAGCCAGGGCTCAGGCGGTCGAGCCAGAGACAGCGCGGGGGGCGATTCGGGCAGGCCCCCCCCCCGCCCCTGCTGGACCCGCCCGCGCCCCTCGCTCGTCTCCAACACCCAGCGGGCATGCTGCGCGCAGGGGTTTTAGATGCCCAAGGGAACGCGCTGCAATATTTAGACATCATGGAAGGAGCTTCCGATGTCGTCGTCGTGGGTCGCGCGCCGTGCCTCAGATTCGCGAGCTTGCCCAAGCGTCATTTGCATGTGTTTCTGGATGCTGGCTCGGATGAGGTCGTGGCTCGATTTAGAGGGCCAGTCTGGCCGAGCCTGCCGCGGACCCCCCCCCCCCCGGCCGTTGAGCGCGCGGGAATTGCAGCGATCATTTTTTCCACGGGGCAGCTGGGACATGTCCTTAAAACTTGTTCGGATTGTTTGGGCCCCGTTCGGTGCGGCAACCTCTTGGCTGCCCAGTGGATTCCCTCCAGGAAGTAGCATCGGGGACCCAGGGATCGGGAGACGTCGGCCCGTGCACCCACGCCCCTGCCCACCGTAGCATGGAGGTTGCCGGCGGTCTCCCGCAGGATGAGCAGAGAATAGCGAGAGACATTTTTTTAGCGGATCGCTCTGCAAAAGAGGCTCTCGTCACGCATGCTCAGGAGCCTCGCCCACGTAAGCAAAGCTCGCGCTGCCGCGAGGGTGATGGCAGCCACTCGCCCCCTCTTCCCGTTCTCGCAGTTGCCCCGGGCGCGCGTAGATGGCATGCGTGGACGGTCGTTCCTGGTGCGCCTGGCTTTCTTATTCGTCATGATTGTCATGCGCGCCGCACAGACACGAATGCATATTCGCTTCATATGTCGGGCTGCCCTGGAAAGAGACAGAATCTCTTGTTCCTCGCAGGCCTCACTTTCGGACACGACCTGGTCTAACGGCTCTCGTCGGGTCCCAATGTTGTATTTTGCAGGCGGCGCGGCGCATATAATACGGAGCGTCTCACCGTCAGCTCGTAAAGCAGCGCAGTGGATTCGCAACTTTATCAGCCAGCTGTTGCCGATTCAATCGAATGTTCCGGTGCCGACACCGCCAGTCCAATCGCGTTGCCCCAGGTGTTGTGCTCCATATCTTAAACGAGATGGAGTGTCAGAGGTTGCTGAGGACCCAGCTGCCTGCCCAGCGTGCTGTATGGCTACAGCGCCCTGCAGGTGATGTTCCAGGCAGCTCTTCAATTCCAGAGCTGGAAAGGGATGAGGCAGCGGATAGCAGCTAAAGAGGACTTTCTATCTTTTATAGGTCTAAATATATATACGCGTTCTACCCCATGCGGGTAAACAAATCTCCTCCTTCACGACTTCACTGGTCCTCCTCCTCTTCCACGACGTCACTGGTCCTCCTCCTCCTCTTTCTCGTCGTCCTCCTCCCCCTCCTCCTCCTCCTGGCTGCCTTCCAGGCTCACCCCTCCTTCCCTCGCCTTCCACGCCCCGCCTCTCCTACCCTTGGCTCCTGCTGCTGTCTCTGCTGCTGCTGCTGCTGCTGCTGTTCCTCCTCCAGCTCCCCCTCGTTTTCCCTTCGATCTTGACTTCCAGGGGCATGGGCCAGGAGTTTGAGGAAGACGAGTAGGGATGAGGGAGGAGGAGGAAGAGAGGGAGGAGGAGGAGGAGAACGAACTCATTGGATGCGAGGATCACGGAGCGAAGAGGCAGCGGGAGAAGGGGAAGGGACTAGCAGGTGGACGACAGGGTGCAGCGGAAGAGGGGAAGGGGGGTCATTGTGCCCCCGCTCGCAGACGGATGATGGCCGCCGGCCTCAACATCAGGACGGTGGGGGCGGAGGAGGTCGACCTGGGTAGGGCCTTGGGTCCTCTCCTCCCCCCCCTTCGCCCCCCGGGCGTTCTCGGTGGAGTCAGGCCGCTTGTGCCCTGAGGGCGAGGTGAAGAACCAGGAGGACAAGAAGCACACAGACACAATGAACAGTCCATATCGAGAAAAACATGCTACCTATGGGAAGTGGATGGGAAGACCATCGTCCAGCTGATCTGAACAACATGTTGATTCCTGGGAGGCGCTGCAGAGGCGAAGCAGGCGCGGCGGTGGATGATGGGCGTGGTGAGGAGGGGGAGGAGGAGGGGGGGGGTCGGGGAGTGGGAGGGCTTACAGAACAAACAACAGAGTGGAGTAACATACGTAGCAGGGCGAAGGGGAGGGGAAGAGCGAAGCGGCGGACGGGGAGGTGGACGAGGAGCACGATACACATGGACGGGGGCGGTGAGGCGGGCGGGGAGAGTGAGGACTTCTTGCTGTGATCCTGGGCCCCCGCCCCCCCTCGTCCCCCCGGGGCGCCGTCGGCGGAGTCAGGCCACCTGTGCCCGGAGGGCGAGCTGAAGAACCGCAAGCGTGCAAAGGCCGTCACAGCCGCCGCGCGGGCTGGGTGCGCGTCGGGGGCATCAGGAGGAAGATGTACCCATACCGCTGCCTTTCCCCTGTTCTTCCATTTTTGGACCTCCCGGGAGGCCCTCTTCGCCACCGCTGGATTCGCCTCGAAATTCTAGTCAGAACGCACCCTGGGAGAGGTCTGGGGAATAGCAGTATCGGTACCTTTTGAGTTCCCCAGGGTGCGCGTCGGGGGCATCCTGGCGAGAAGGCGGAGTGGACAGGGAGGGGGGTGTCGGGCAAGCTAATTTGGTGCGCTCGCGTCTCATTTGACATCGTATCCGTCCTATCCCATCCCATTCCATCGCGGACGCGTGTCGTAGCCGACCTACGGCTTCCCAGGAAGATTACCCCTTGGTCTGCGCAATCGGAAGGGAGGAGCTGCGTGCACAGGAGGGAGAGGCGGCGGGTGAGCAGGAGCATGAGCGGGACCAACAGGATGAGGATGAACAGCATCAGCAGGAATTGAAGAGGAAGGATCGGGAGGATCAGGAGGACCAGGGGAAGGCGGAGGAGGGGAAATGCGGGAGGCGACAACGCTGAAGGAAGATGCGGATTCAGAAAAGTGGCCCGCGGTTACGGCGGGACGAACAGCAGCAGCAGAAGCTAGAGTGGAAGTAGCGGAAGGAACAGGAGGACGAGGGGAAGGCCGACGAGGGGAAATGAGGGGGGGGGGGGTCGCCACAATGAAGCAGGACTCGGATCCAGAAAAGTGTCCCGTGCTGCGGCGAGAGAGAGTGGATTACCAGGGTGAAGCACCGACCCGAAAATGAGGCCCACGCTGCAGCGGGGGTACCAAATTTGAGACACTGACGAAAAGCCGATTGTAAATAAATCCTAAGATACATGACGTTCAAACATTTTTGCACGTTATAAAAACACACGCGGATGGGGCGGGAGATCTTCCAGACAAGTTCAGTGGAGGAGGGATCGTAGTGCAGTGGGGGCCCATGCCAAGAAAGACCCTGCTTGCCTCCAGGGTGCCCTGAGTTTCTTGGGTTTCGATGGTTTTGCGATGGAAAGCACGACGTTCCACACCAAAAATTAAGGAACCTCCTGGGGTTTCAGGGTTGGGTTTCTTGCGGAAGGTGTCTTGTGGTCGGGCTCCTAGTTGTGGAGAGGGGAAGGCTTCTTAGAAGGAGGTTGCTCCTTAGAAGGCGCGAGCCCTTTGGCCGGCGCCGTCCAAGAAACAGCCTCCTTTTATGCAGCCCTCCCCTTTTCCCCCTGCCCCTTCTGAGAAGCCTCCTTCTAAGAAGCCTGCTTCCAAGAAGCCTCATTCCAAGAGACCTCCTTCTAAGAAGCCTGTCCTCCTCCTCCTCCTCCTCAGAGGCATCCTTCCAAGAAGCCTCCCCTTCTCCCCCCTTCCCCTGCGCGCGCCGCCAAAGACATCGCTCGCAAGGGGGAGGGCTGCGGTAGACACAAGGGGGGCGGCGAGGGAAGGAGAGCGTGGAGGATGGAAGGGGTACTGAGGGCGAGGAGGACGAGCACGACGAGGAGATTGCGCGGAGGAGCATGGCAGGACGAGGAGAAGGAGGAGAAGGAGGACGTGGAGAAGAAGGACATGATGACGATGCGATGTCTCTCCTCCCTCCCTCCCTCCTGTCTGCGGGACCCTGGTCACTCATCCTCTCGATGTTGTCCTGCTCCCCCCGGTTGGGGGGGCCCGACCGGGCCTCCATGGGGGTAGCGGCAGCGTCTGAAGGCACCAGTGCCGTCAGGAGCCAGGAACCAGGAGGAGGTTCGAAACGAGGAGGGGGAGGAGGACGACGAGTCTGCGCGGGGGGGCTCTCCCCACGAGGACGCGGAGGGGAACACGCGAGGAGGAAAGGATGCTCCCCAAGCCCTGCCTGGAGGCTTGGGGGGAATGAGTGCCAGAGTACAGCCAGGACGCATCAACGAGTCTGCGAAGCACACACCCACCCTCGCCAGAGGCCCTTGCCTCGCCAGCCCTGCGCCTTTCGCTTGCGGGAAGCGCTTTTTGTTTGAAAGTTTGGCCGTTGGGCCTGCCACGTTCGGTGAGAGGTCCGCCCTGAAAAGGAGCAGCTGTCTAGCTCGCATTAAGTCGAGCGTGTCCCTCTACAGGAGGAGCATCAAATAATAATAAGCAGTAGCCTGAGGACCATCTGTTTGCTTATGTTTGATCGGTTTGGGGTATTACTTGGCTATTTTTCGACGTTCGCCCAACATCCGTCTGTAGGAGGACATGCCGGACACAAAGCTAGCAGGCAGGCCAAGATGTCGGAGCACGAAGCTCCAGGCATCGTCCAGCGAGTGCCCCGTCTTGTAAAGGGCACGTCCTCGTCTCGTGCGACCGTTGCAACACTGCCGCTTGAGTGGCCGTAAAGTACTCCCTAGGCGATGCTTAAGAAAACTTAAGTTTTCGGCCAGAGTCTCGTTTATTCTTAATGTTTCAATGTAAATCCTAAGATTTGAATAGAATTTTTGGGTTTTTATTCAACTTCTGAGACTATGAATTTCTTAACCCATGATTTCTTAAGCATTTCGCAGGGTGTACTCAGGGGAGGGCAAGCCGCCCGGACCCGACGATCGACGTTTCCTAGACGGCCCTGGGGCGCTTACTCCACGGCCCCGCCCTGTTCGGTTCCGTCCCTGGGCGCGTCTGCTCAATGGCTCCGCTGGCCGGGGTGATCGTTCCGGGGGTGGATGTTCTGCCCTCTATGTGCAGCTGCAAGCTTTGATCTCATGGTGATGATGATCATGATGATAATGCTGTTGATGATGCTGATGATGATGGTGGGGATGCCGATGATGCTGCTGATGATGATGATGATGGTGATGGTGATGATGATGCTGATGATGATGATGATGCTGATGATGATGATGGTGATTCTGATGATGATGATGATGATGATGATGATGATGATGATGATGATGATGATGATGATGATGATGATGATGCTGATGCTGATGCTGATGCTGATGCTGATGATGATGATGCTGCTGATGATGCTGGTGCTGATGCTGATGGCGATGATTATTATTGTCAGAAGGCCTCGGAGTGCCTCCAGGGAAAGCCTCGGTTTGATGCAGGCCCGCACTGCATCCGTGCAGCTGCCCGAGCGCGCGGCGCCGAGGCGAGCGCCGCGCTTGCATCGCCAGCTGCCCGGATTCCGTACGGCTGCTGGAGTGAGCTGCGGTCGGGCAGGAGCCTCACGCTCACAATTCTCTGCTCTCCATCCGTGTGCCGGAAGCCGGGCAAGGGCTGCTAAATCCGTGGCTGCTGACATCGACCTCCGGGAAGTGGTCTTCGTCTTTCCGGGAAGAAGCCCGTTGGCTGTTTCGCGTGCTGCGCCTCATTCCGGGAGGTTGTTTTTTCCTTCCGGGAGTGCCGTTTTAGCAGCCACGGTTTTAGCAGCAGCCTTCGCCCAGCTTTCGAGTGTGACAATCGAGGTGCCCGCGTGACATCCGCCACCGTGCTTGCGAAGCGCTTAGCGTGGTGACCTTCCGAGCATCGCCCAGAAGGCCGTCAGGTGTGCAACCTCTCGTCTCCTTTCCTTGGCGAACTCACATGCTGGTGTCTCGTGCCGTCTGTTGGCTATCCTGGGCATCCGCGGGGCAATCTTAGCAGTCCCTTGGTGCCTTTCTCGGTCGTCCTGGGGCCCGCGTGGGTCGCCAGTTTGGCCGTCTAGGGGTTTCTTGGGGCCGTATTGGAGCCCCCTTCGGTTTTCCTGGACTTTTCTCATGCCGTGGTGGCTTCCTGCCGCGACCCAGTCGTTCTGAGCCACCGTGTGGCCTTCTTGGAACTCTCAGTCGGCCCTGTTTGGCGTTCGAAGGCCGCAAGTGGAGCGATATTCAACCGAAGAGAGTGGATCATCATCATCATCATCATCATCATCATCATCATCATCATCAGCATCATCATCATCAGCATCATCATCGTCATTGGCACCGTCATCATCATCGTCATCATTATCATCATCATCATCATCATCATCACCATAATCGTCGTCATCATCACCACCATCATCGTCATCACCACCATCATCAGCATCATCATCATCAGTATCATCATCATCATCATCGTCATCATCCTCATCAGCAGCAACAGCAGCAGCATCCTTAGCCTCCTCAGCCTCATCATCATCACCATCCTAATCCTCATCATCATCATCGTCGGCGTCGTTGTCATCGTCACCGTCATCGTCATCGTCGTCATGCTCATCATCAACAGCATCATCGCCATCATCACCATCACCATCAGCATCATCACCCCCATCATTATCATCGTCATCATCATCCTCACCATCATCATCATCATCATCATCATCATCATCGTCATCGTCATCGTCATCATCATCATGATCATCAACAGCAGCATCATCACCATCACCAGTACCATCATCGTCATCATCACCATCACCATCACCAGCGGCAGCACCATCACGACCATCACCATCATCGTCATCATCATCACCAGCATCATCATCATCATCATAATCCTCATCATGCTCATCATCATCATCATCATCATCACCATCACCACCATCATCATCATCATCATCCTCATCATTAGCATCCTCATCGTCATCCTCATTTTCATCATCCTCATGTTCATCATCCTCATCATCATCATCATCATCATCACATCTTGCGGCAACGCTGAGGCATCTTGGCGGCCCCGATGGCCTTCCAGGGCCAGCTTCGGAGCCGTTGCAGTAACTCAGGGAAGCCCCGATGGAGGCGTCGTCTGGCCGCCGTGGGAACCTCGGGACTGTGAGGGAGGGCGGCGGCGAGGCACCAACACCGCCACATACCTCCTGCCCCCGTATCCCTCCTCCTCCTCCTCCTCCTCCTCCTCCTCCTCCTCCTCCTCCTCATCCCTCCTTCTTCTCCTCCTCCTCCTCCTCATCCTCCTCCTCCCCTCCTTCTCCTCCTCTTCCTCCTCCTCCTCCTCCTCCTCCTCCCCGGATTGTAGCGTTCTTGCAGTATGAAAAACATGAAAGGCAGTGACG